AAAAAAAAAAAAAAAAAAAAGCTTAATATTTATTTGTTTACTTTATTAAACATTTCTTTCAATGTAAGTTGTTTAAGTTGCTTCATTTTTTGTGCTAAACGCGCATGCGTAACATTAAACGCGCATGCGCAAAGCATACAAAAAAAACGTTTGTGGCTTTGAGGTCCGGATTATAGATCATTCTGGATAATGGACGTTCGGATTCCAGACTTTGTACTGTATAAAATAAAAAGTACCAAAAGATTAACGATGCATGTATCAAAATCAATGGAGTTACTCTTTCAAGGTTAAGCACTGTACTTAGACATAAAAGATCTCAACTTAACCCTGATTTTGCATAGACTACCGCATTACAGTGACATAGCTCTCTAAAATTTTGAGTTCACAGAGCACTATTCTTCCCCTTTCAGCTCAATACAGCAATCTTACCATCAACAATACATTATTCATTTATAAAGCGATAATGCATTCTACCCTAGGCTGTTTCTGTTTGGGCTTTTGGGCACAAATTTAATCTTATTAAGTCATGGATTCTCTAAAATATCAACTAAAAGAAAATTGTTAATAATTCCTGGTGCTGTAGAAACCACAGACCATGACAAACTTAGAAGCTGAATTCATAAATAAATTTTCAGTAAATCTTTCAGTCAAATTCCATGTATAATTTTCTTTAATTATGAATGACACTTTACCATTAATAACTATGCGAATGGAGAAAAACCACCCTACAAATGCCTACAGCAATTCTGAAGCTCTAATAATTATTTTCAGCAAATTCTTCAAGAATTAGGTTAGATTGTTTTAATATGGTAAAACACAAGAAGGCTAAAGCAAAGAATGTGTATGTAAAGATGGAAAGGTTCCATATATGTAATGTAAACCAGTTTGCTATTTTGCTGCTGAAAAGCAGAGAGAAAATTTGCCAAGGGATTTGGTGACAGACATAGTAGCAAGAAATTCCCCTTCGGCGATGCGTACGGGAAATTGAGGAGCACGTGTTAAGAGGAAATGTTCATTGACAAAACATTTCTTCTTTGACTTTTCGCAATAATTTAAACTTGGATTTTCGCACTTTTTTTTTGCTCAAAATAACTAATCCATTAATTAATTTACTTGCATGAAAAAATATTTCCTATTCCTTTAAAGGTTAAAGAAATTTAAAACCACATTCGTTTTATGAACTCTTGATAAACATGACCTTTGAACTTCGATGCTGACTTAGAGCTTTGGCAACAGATATTTCGCGCATGCGTAGCTGTTTCCCTGTACGTTGCGGATAAGTTTTCCTTCTTAACAATACATATTCTTTGGCTAAAGTAGGTGATGCCTTTACGGATGACTTTTTAAGGAAACTTGTTTATATTCATATAATGCATAGGGAAAAATCATAACAACTAATTACATAACCAGTACATTTCATTTGGTTCAAATTCAGATTGAACTGCCCGTATTCAGCCATCTTAACCACGTGGCCACTGATACAGCTAAACAGTTGAGTATTTTAATGATTATTCACTACCATTTAATTCCACTGAGTCATGTTCAAAGTAGTTTGTCTGAATATACTCTCAGATTTAATGAGTTTTTTCAAGTAAAAATATTCCATTATGTCATAGATGATCAAAGTTCTTTAAACATTACGTTAATTGTGCCAGTAGGAAAAAAACCACCTTTATTCTGAAGGAAAATAGGAAAACAAATTTAACCTATGATGACTTAAATTAACATAACACACAAATCAAGGTTTTAAATGCAGTGACTTGTATGTAACATGACAGCAGACACGAAAGCTCCAGACAACTCGTGTAAAATACAAAATTTTAGTTCAGCATAAAGTCTGCCTGATTTATAACTGGACATGTACTGAATTACTTTTTTCCCTTAAAGAAATTTATGACATAAATGAGATTGTTCACAATAGCAGGCAAATGAAACATACTGTATCAAACAAAGAACAGACAGCCCCATTTTCTCAGTAATGGCGAGTCTTTAGTATAAGAGAACTAAATATTAAATAACCTTGCTATTATACGGGAGTTTCACTATGTATAATATTACCAATACAAACCAGTTTTTGCAAAATGCCAACAAGTTATGCAAAAGCCTTGGAAACCACAAGTTAAAATATATCCAGGAACAATAAGTTACTTACCTACCATTAATATTTTCGATCAACAAAGATTATGAAAGTCTAATTTTTAAGCATTTTTAATATCAGCATCTTTACATATTGGCACATTCTCTCCTTGATAAATGTATTAGGGAAGCTTACATACATTATACAACATGTAGATACATAAGATCTTAATATACTTTTTTTTTTTTGGCAATTGGATGGGCACATCATATCATGCATCATTGTAATTGTTCAATCTGAATAAAGCTAATATAATTCTGAGTTCAAATAGATGCAATACTTATTATTATGGCACCATTTTTTAAATGCCATCAAAAGCCCTCTTGTTAGCAAACAGTACGAAGTGACAAACCTACTTACAGATCATCAACAAGAGGTCGGCAATCCTAACCACAGTCCTTATAATACACTTGTCATGAGGAGTACGTTCTGAGAAGGATTACCATTTCGACACAATCCATTTAACAAGAGTGCTCCTGTCACCAGGAAGAATAAAAACCATACGTTTTTTGCATATAATTTAGTATGCATATTATTTTACTAGCTGAACAACAAATATATGCCTAATAACATAAATTCTATACTATTATTTTCATCAATGCAAGGCTATAATAAACCTGAGTACTGATGGAGCCTGGCTTAAGTACTTCTCAATATTTTAAATACTATAATTCTAGACCAGTGGCTTTTGATCTTTTTTCCACTTACACCACTTTTATGCCCGCTAGATGATTATTGTCCCTCCGCCGAATTATTTTTAATGTGTTTTATAAACTACACAAGTATATAAAAAATGTTGATAAATATCAAAACCTGAATAAAAAGTATTTTTTTATATTTATGAACTGAAACTTAATATTTAACAGGTAAATAAAAGTTGAATGGATTTGCCCTTGGTTGACAACCCCTTTTTATGTAGTTTACAAGAGTTTTGAACAAGGCTACCTCTAGGAATTTTTTGCGACAAAATTAAATAGTAAAATTAACAAAAAATTGCTTTTTTTTTTTTTTTTTAATTTCATGATACTTATGTTGATACTAGCTACTAAAACTATCTGGCCCCCTTATGTTCAAAACAGTTTAAATGCCCAATTACACTTTCAAAAATCAAACCGTAAGAAATATAAGCTGACAACTTGCATATGAAGGAGAATATGATTTAGTTGTGAGCAGAAAGTTGAAGTAATTTTAAATCTAAGAGCATTAAATGTAAATTTTGGCCAATCACAGATTTATAATAAATTTTTTTCCAACAATCTGTTAACCGAATTACGCTTATGCTAGAACTTTTATGGAACAAAAGTGCTTAATCATGACGAAGATTAGGTGCGAAATTGGGAGAAAGTGCAGAATCGCCCACTGCTTGCCACGTTTTTAAGAATTGCATATACACTGTATCACCCATGTACACATCGGCCTATTTTCACTTAAAAAAACATCCCAGAATTGCACAAAAATGGCATTGCGCACACTCTTGACTTTATCCATGTACACTGCTATAAGTCCTAGCTAGTAACCTTTATCGCCATACCAAAATGTTGCCAAACTACCTGTTACCATATTCCAAAGATTAGCCAAATATATCACTACAGATAATGAACAACATAATTTTCAATTGTAAGTCATTACAGAATCTTTGAAGTTGCAAGAATTACAAAACAGCATTTGTATCTAAATATTTTCAATTTTATTTCTTATTTTTGTAGTTAAATTCTTCAGAAAAATCTTTCATTTACATTTTCACTTTTTTGTTTTGGTCATAAAATATCTGAAAATATACTTGCCAATCCTTAATAATTTGGAAAGCCAAGATTTTTTTTATTCTTGGTACTTTGTCTTATTATTACTAATTTACTCCTCTTTTTACTCATTTAATTTACATACTTCTTAATATCTCATTTAATTTTGATAACTCATTATTTAGAGTTATATTTATTTTTTCTGCCATCAAAAAGGTTCCAAGTTTTTTTTTTTTTTTTTTTTTTTTTTTTTTTTTTTTTAATTTAGGCTCTGAACATGAGTATATTAATGACACAACTGTGAGATTAGTTAGAACTTTTTCAAGTGAATAGTATGAAATAACACAAAAGGGAACTTAAATGCCATCCAAAACCGTGATTCACTTCTCCCACTGAAAAGTTACAAACTTGTTTGTGATTTTGGAGAGAAACACTTAACTGGGTATCTTTTCAATGAACATGCATTCAATGCATCCAAAGATGCCACTTTTTTTTAGAGTCTACTTTCTTTTGCATATATGATAAAGCTATGGTTTTTAAATTAAAGGTGTCATTCAATGGAAAATAACAGCATCTCTTCAATATCCTTATATGGCAGTAAAATGGGAAGGAAGAAAATCGAAATTTCGGTAAGTGCCACCTATGGAAACATTCCGGTTTTATTTTACACTACACTTTACAACATAAAATAAAATACACTGGCATAAAGGTTCATTCGATTTAAAATACCAGTAAATTTTTTCATCCCTCTGCATAAATAGGAAACTTATTAGCACATTTCTTTCCCGTATTAAAACTACAATTATGTACTTGAGGGGGGGGGAATTCAAAGTTTATTATGTTAATTTGCTCTCCATATTTTTTTTCCCCTGTCAGTCACAATATGCTATAATTATGCTCTCACAGATGATCAATCTGCACAGGTTTCAGAAACTAAAAACTAAACGAAAAACAATTGGTCTTGATTTCTTGAGAGTATATCAACTTTATATACGAGCAATACTCCAGTTTTCACCGACATCTAAACCAATAGAATTATTCTGCAATTTCTTAGAGCTGACATGGACTACGTCAAGTGTGAAATAATTCTGAACTTTAAAATAGTCAAAATTGCACTTTCTTACTTCATCTGACACTACCAAGCTGGAATCCTGAACAGGCTGCAGTAATGGTGTTCTCTCAGTCGGACTTGAATTTGACGGGTCGCCTTTCAATTTAACTCGATGTTTTATTGTTTGTTCCATTCTAGATTTCTTAGTATATAAATTCAGTTAATAATTCACATCCCGCAGCTCATTGTCACATTGCCGTCTTCGTTTCATAGTCACATGATCATCACATGGCTGTTTGTTTACTATTAAATTTGCCAGGTTTTGCAAGCAATTTTTTATAATAATGTATAATCATATTTTATAATAATGTAAAATCATAATTTTATATTTTATAGTGATCAAGTTAAGGTACTATAACAGCAATTCGCTGCTGCTAACCAAAATATACGCTATTTTGAAAGCTGATCTTGTGCAGAGCAAACTCATCTGCAAACAGAGATATTTGATTGATGCATCGAGCCTTCTAACATGGTGTCCAGCCTCTAAGGAAAGTGATCGCAAATTTCGAGCTATTTGCATTGGCTGCGAAGTATTTACGGGATAAAAGTTGCTGAAATTCTAGGTCTACACTCTTCGCTAATGCGTGTTTAAATTAAGCATTTCTAGGCCTTATTTTAAACCCTTGTTTATGAGCTTCAGGTCTTATTTTAAACCTTACTTAAAATAATCGTTCGCCATTTGCGATCCTAACCCGTGTTGTCATTAACGTATAGCGCTTATTTTCTCCACCTCATTTGAAATTGTAGTTCCAGTCAGCTTTCATTTATTGGTTATTCTTCGATTCATATATTGGATATTCGGGGAAAGTGCAGAATCGCGCACTGCTTGCCGCGTTTTTAAGAATTGCACATACTCGGCATCCATTTACACATCCACCTATTTTCACTAGAAAAAACATCCCAGAATTGAACAAAAATGGCATTGTGCACTCCCTTGACTTTATCCATGTACACATCGACCTATTTTCACTTAAAACGTCCAAGAAAATTGTCAAAAATCCAATTCTTCTTACTCTTGTAAAAAGAGCCAAACAAACGCCAATCAAATAAGTGGGCGATTTTGCCCTTTAGCCGGATATTCTTTTATTTATTGGATATTATTGGATATCCCATCTATTAAAAACACGATTTTGCATTTCGTATGATGTTACACCTGTCTGGCTTGGGAGTACTGGGGCTAAACTAATCGGAAACAATTACAGACCACGTAGAACTATATTCTACGGCCAATGCATGAATAATGAAATATTAAATGTTGCACAGTTCAGAACCGTATACTACAAACTGGCTAAAAAATTTCAACGAAAATGATTCTCATTACGTTGTCCGCATGAGCTAGTCAACGCTCACAGATTTGAAAGAGTTGTAAATTCCTAGGTGATGGATTAGTTCTTATACCAGGGTACCTGGGTTCAGAGACCCTATCCTTTCCAGAAGGTGCAAGCAATTTCGAATGTTCGAATGGTGAGAGAAGATGAGAGATGACATATACAAAAGCTTTACAAAAGGCTAATAATCATCATAATAATTTTTTTGTTAATTTTAAAAATAGAGTTTAAGAAGCGATCAAATCACTGTGGGCAATAAATGCATGAATGAGATGGACACTTAGGAAATCGGCATAAACTAGAAAAGCTCCTAAGATCTCGGGGGGGGGGTGTTCGAGCTGGTGCATATTAAAGTATGTTAATAAAAATAATAATAATATAATATATAGTTTAGATAAGTTCTGGCAACAGTGAGTGTTGTCGTCATCAGGAGATCGTGCTTCGCGATACTATCGTTCAAAAATTGCTATAGTTTGTAATTCCAATAAAAGCATCGTATTTTTGCTCTGCTATTCGTTTCTCTCTTTATTTTTAGATATACCTTTTTAGGTTATGTATTTTTTAAGAAATACTTTTTTAGGTTATGGGTCAAGCAAACTCCCATATTGCGTCAAATGTTTTGAATTGATGTTTTCTCGAAGAAACGGAACTCGTTAAGCCTAATCAAGTAAGTGTTTTGTTTTCGTTATAGCAATCGAAAGTTGTTTAGTATGGAATTATCTAAGGTCCAAGTAAAGCCTTTATCAGGTGAAAGCGATTGGCTTATATGGAAATACAGGATAAAATTTGTTTTAAATTATCATCCTGGTGCTTTAGAAATTGTAGAAGGAACTATAGTGTGAAACCAGAAATTCTTCCTGTAGATGCTCCGATTGCTCAACAAGAGAAAATAAATGAAAGCTGTTAAGAAGTTTCAAAATGCAAACACTAGTGCTATGATGGTATTAAACGAATTCCATGACGGAAGAGAAGAAACTCTGCAAAATGTTATGAGATTTCAGACTGCTAGAGAAGTGTGGTTGGAATTACATAGTTATTTGAAGCATCATCAGAAAAATCAATTGTATAATATATGCATGCAATTTTTTCAATTCAAGTGGAATGAAAATGATAATATGGCGGCTCATTTTTCCAAATTAAAAAAACTTATGGAATGAGTTGAATTCAGGACCTTGAGAAAAGAAAAATGAAAATAAGTTACCTGACATGCTACTCAATTGCACAGATTTTAGATGTCTTACCAGGACAATACCATTTGTTTAAGTCAAGTTGGTTACTCTTGGGTGAAGACAAAAGAACAGTTGATGAGTTAACAGCACAGCTTTGCTCTCATGAAAGAGAATTTAAAAGTCATGAGAAAGGCAATACAAATGAACACGTGGCATTAGTTAATGTCAAAATCTGAAAAACAAAAGCAATATAAAAAAGATAAATTCAGAAGAAAACCAAGAAAAGAAGATATTTGCAATTATTGCAAAAGAAAGGACACTGGGTAAAAGATTGTAAACAGTGGATTGCTGATGGAAGACCACCCAAGAATAGGTTGGACGAAAACCAATGAAGGAAATACAGGCAGTGTAATACTGATGTCCATTGACGAAGAGGCTAAGACTGATCGAACATCTTTTTGGATTGATAGTGGAGCTACAAGACATATCATGAATTGTTTCACATACTTTATGACTTTATGAAGTTTGATAGTCCCTGTAGCATCAAGGCTGCTGGAAAAGAAAACTTTAGTTGCTCTTGGTAAAGGTACAGTATGTGTCAAACAAAACAACTATTGGTAGTAAAATCCAAAGAATTTACCTTAAAGATGTTTGGTATGTCCCCTGAGATAAACAGAAATTTATTTTTTTACTTGCTTGCTCAAGATAGAAATCCGAATAGTAAAATTTATTTCAACAGTTACAGAATGCTGGTTAAAGGTTAATGGTCAAGTAGTGTTTTTTGGAACTCGCAAAGTATATGGTACTTTATACAAGGCAGCTATCGAACCTATTATGCCTGATAAATTATAGAAGTTCATGCTGCTGAAGCAGACAATTCCTTGTTAGAGTTTATATCATCAAAGATGGGGACATCAAGATAAACGTCACATTAAGAACATGCTTGAGAAAGAATTAGGATTATTAAAATCCCATTTGAAAGAAAAATTGTGTGAACCATGCATTTTTGGCAAAGCACACCGTTTACCATTTGGTATAAGAAAGCCAGCTAGCAAGCGTGGTGAATTAATTTCAGCTGATGTCTGTGGACCTTTTGATGAATCTTTCCAGAAGAAAAGATACTTAGTTGTGTTTAAAGATAGCTACACAAAGTTTCGTTATGGGTATTTTATCAAGTAAAAAATCTGCTGTTGTAAATATGTTACAACACATGCTTGCACACGCTAAAATTTTAGGACATTCAGTCAAAGAATTTCTCAGCGATAATGGAGGCCTGTTTGACAATGGCAAAGTACGTGCTATTTTGCATTCTGAAGGTATAACTCAAAGACTAACAGCACCTTATTCTCCTGAACAAAATGGCTCTAGTGAAAGAGACATACGTACAATAATCGAAATGGCAAGAACATTTAAGTACTCAAATTCTGAAGCTCATTTTCCTGTAGCAATGTGGGCTGAACTAGTCAACACTGCCATAATGTTACTAAACAGAACTGGCAAATCATCATTAGAAGGCATGAGTCCTTATGAGCTATGGTTTAAAAAAGAAACCTCGATTAATTAAGCATCTTCATATAGTAGGATCTGTGTGTTATGCCCATATTCCTAAACAAAAAGAAGAAGGAAAAGGGATAATAAGGCTACAAAGCGCTATTTTTAATTGGTTATGATGGAGACGAAAGATACCGTCTATGGATCAAAGAAACCAATAGTGTGATCTGTTCACGGGATGTTATATTAACGAAAAGCTCACAAATTGTGAAGAAAGAAGAAAGGGTGCAGTTACCTATTCAAGATCAAGATAGCCTAATTTCTGGCTCTGAACATCAACAAAATTCAGAAAAAGATAGTCAGAAAAGTTTCTTTGTGAAGAAGATAATTCAGAAAAAGAATACAACAAAGAACCATCTGGAAATATATCAGAAGAACATTTTGAAAGACAAGAATGTGAAGATATTAATTTGCAAATAATGCACAGTCAAGATACCTAAGAATAGAGCTGACTTGAGAAAGCCAAAGCGTTTTGAAGATTATATAATGATAAGTGAAGCTTTTATTATTGATTCTGAAGAGCCCGAATCTTATGAACAAGCGATCAACTGTAAGCAAAGTGTTAATTGGAAAGAAAGCTATGGATTCAGAGATGAAATCATTGATAGAGAATGGAACATGGAGTTTAGAAAAATTACCACAAAAGATGCTAAAGCTTTATACCATGCAAGTGGGGTTTATAAGATCAAAAGGAATCCTGATGGATCTATTGATAAATTCAAGGCTAGACTTGTTTTGCCAAAGTATGTACTTCAATGTTTTGGAGTTGATTATGATCAAACGTTTAGTCAGTAACAAAGTTAGGAACTATTTGGTTCAGTTTTGAGCATCGCAGCCAATGAGAAATGCATCTTTCTCAGTTTGATGTCGGTTCAGCATTCTTATATGGAAAACTTGAAGAATCTATATACATGCAGCAAACCAGAAGGATATAGTGACGGTTCGAAGAAAGTCTGTAAGTTGAAACGCAGTTTGTATGGACTTAAACAATCATCACGCTGCTGGAATAAATATTTTGGAGATTTTGTTGTCACAGCTGGGCTTCAAGACAAGTGACAATGAAGCTGATCCATGCTTATATATAAGAAACAATACGGCAAGAAGCTAATCGTATGTTTATACGTAGATGATGGTTTAGTAGCATCAACAGATCTACAAGAATCTGAAAAAATTTCTCAGAGAATTGAAGTCGAGATTCAGAATCACAACTAAACCAGCAGTATACTTTCTTGGACTTGAAATTAAACATCTTGAAGATGGAAGTATTAAAATTAGTCAGCAAGCTTATGCAAGAAAAATTCTTCAAAAATTTGGG